TGTTCTCTGTGAAGGAATGGTCGTATGATGTATACATCTTAGCATCGACCTTTATTGCCTCAGCCACCTTTCTGACAACTTGTTCAAAGTTATATGTCGACTCCCTATTTACTTTTCGAGCCTGGCCATCTTCTCGGCCATGGCTTTATTCTCGGCCGCAAGCTCTTCTTCCCTGGTCCGTTGCACATCTCAGTTGCGTTGAGTGTTCAGCTACTCCCTCAGGTCTCCTCTGCGTACGGATGAAGATTTTACTGGAACCGCGTTCCTCCGGTTCACGTTCTCCTGCGGTCGAGGAGGTACCCCTCGGTCATTTGTTGTCTGGGCTGTGGCCCTCTCCAAGGCTCTCCTCTTGGCAGCTCGTTGCCTGCTCCCCACAGATCTATTCGACTTGGCTGGGCGGGGGTCATTGGCCCCACTATCACCGACTCCCTCGGCGTCGCCACGTCAGTCACCAATTACTTGGTTCCTGATGACGGCGTTCACCAGGTTCATCGGTGCATCCTCTAACGGCGGCATCGAATCTGGCCTTTGCTTCCGTCCGGCGAGGGCCGTGGCCATCCTCTCTATGGCCACAACTAATGTTTTGACCTGCCTTTGAACCAGGTCAAGGTGATCTGAGGGATTTCTAGTGGCCGGTGGGTTCACCCTGCAGTTGGCCCGTACTCCTACTAGTTCTTGGTTGTCGTTGGGTGGATTCGTCAGATTTCTCCTTCCAAGGATAGGATTCTGGCCCTCCTGGCTTTTCTCATTGGCCATCATGCTGCGAGTGTTTCTCAGAGGCATACTTACTGTTTTTTGCTGGATTCGATTTCTGGGTTTAGGCCCTTCCTCTAGCACCAATTGTTGACGGTAAAAATTAGTCAACTCAGAATTTTACCCCTCTGTGAACACTCGCGTATCTTCTCTCACCAGTTAATCAAGAAAATCATCACAAGAAAGCAAAGAACACAAATTTATAGTGGTTCGGCAGAAAACTCCTTGCCTACATCCACTTGTGGATGCACTAGCAATCTCAGAATTACAATCTCTTTGGAGTAGTAAAGTAGTCCGTACTTAATGAATCCAGATGGGCTCTATTTATAGGCATTTTACATATGAGAGACCTCCTCTACATTTTCTGAGGAGATCATCCCCTTTCCCTAGATTTTAGGATTTGGCAATTGTATTTCCATGATTTCAGCTTTCAGGTTAGGCCAACCACCCTTACCAGTTACCTGATTTCTTGACCTGAATCTTGGCAGTTGGTACAGTGTGTCTTTTCTTGAGTTGACGAGATGTTATCTTAATTTGATCTCCCGGTCTTATCTAATTGTTGACTCCTTGACGCAGAGGCTTCAAAGGGCTTTTGTGGACTTCTCGACTTCAATGACACAAAGGCCTCAAGAGGACCTTAAGCACTTCTCAACTTCAACACCTTGGCTCTAAGAGCGCTCCTAAACCTAGAGACATCTCCTTAACTATTAGTTCTCGACGTCAGGGATTTGTGCTGACTTTTAGAGCTCTCGACGCGTACGACAAAAGCGGGTCGCTTAAATGAGTTTTCAGAAAGAAAAAAGAAATGGGAGAAGAAAAAGTGGGGGTGGGACAGTGAGAGGACTGGGACAGACGAAGAAATGTCCAACAAAATGATCCGACGAATCCACTCAAGGACTACTCAGGTCAAGTGCCTATCCTACATTAACATTATTTTTGCTCAATTATGGTCCTACAATACATTGTTCAACGTCAATTTGAGTCCGATGATATGGGCATGACGGATCCACTCAAGGACCACACAGGTCAAGTGCCCCTCAAAATTTTTTAATTTTAAATTTGGTCTACATGTTTTGGTGTTATTTTTTTATGCATCCCACTTAAATATTTTGTGTTGAATATACGTCATTGCTGCTTTTTTTCCCTTTTATAAAACTCAAGCCATTTCTATTTGATTCATTTTCTCCCTACTTAAATTTGAGGAGATTTTCTGGTACATTTGACATATTGGTAGACTAAATTTTTCTAACCGGTAAATCTGCGTATTTTTTGACTTTTATGTGATTTTTCTAACCGATAGATTTACGTATTTTTTGACTTTTGGATGCATTAATGCTTCAAAGTAAGAGAACTACGGTGACAATAATTACAATTATAGGTGAATTAATTGGTGCACGTAGTGAAGGACCTGATTCCTAAAGAGATGAACAACAAATCTTCCGACATATATGTTGCTTAAGCTTCATAAGGAAGCATTTTGGGGTGGTATGAAGTTACCATATATTTAAGTATTATTATGAAGCCAAGGCATACTTGTCTTATTTCAGTTCAAGGTCCTTCTACGGCCAAATCTCAATTCGTGGAAAGCCTTCGATGGCTTCCTTATGAAAACATCCATTTTTATTTGGGTATAGACGGTATCTCTTTATTCTTCGTGATATTGACCACATTTCTGATCCCTATTTGCATTTCAGTGGGTTGGTCTGGTATGAGAAGTTATGGGGGGACAATGCCCCCCTAACCTAAGTGGGCCTACCGGCGAACCAACTGGTACTTGATCGGGCGGTTTGGTTTCGTGCAACGCCCTCGCAGCAGGAAGAGGCAGTTGTCATTTGAAAGGAAACACCCCTTGTATAGGGTTCTAAACCTTAAGGTATGTTAAGACACCCTGCAAATGTAGAAGCAACATGGAAGCAATATTTTGACAGGATGTATATCCAGACTTTGCAAAAGATCTAACAAGATTTCAGGTCGTTTGTTTCATACACTCAAGCTTAAATAATTGATCTGCTACAGTGTAAAACTCTCACATAAAATTTAACTCTTAAACGTAAGAATAAAAAATTATGAGTTTGAGTATACCTCCCAAACAGACCCGAAATGTTAGGTTAGTCTTGGTTTTAAATGGGATTTAATCCATTTGGAAGCTAGGGATGCTTTTAGTGTGTGACCTGTCGTCTTAGTTCTATACAAATATGCTTCCATCGAGGTTTACACGGAAGAGTCTCCTTTCATGCTGACTTTAAGATTTCCAGAGGCAATGGTCCTCAAAATTAAACGACATTGATGTTTTCTTGTACTGGCCTCTAATAGATTAACTAAAATTATTATGGGAATGAGGTGTTGAAGGAAAATTTTGAGTTAGAAGAGGGAGCAGAACATTTCACTATGCAGATTGTTTTGTTGTGGAAAGTTGATGATTTTCTAGTTTAATTCGGAAGGAAAGTAGTTACCGATGGAGCACGAAGGAGTATTAAGGTGACGATTGGTTCATGGGTTCAGAATTATGGTTCATATATCTGATTTTTGAAATTTAAATTTTTTATGAGAGAAAAACACTCTAACAAATCAAGAACTATGATCCTAAATCAGACCAGAACCCCCAAAACAAACGGAGCAGAAGTTTGTCCAATGTAGAATATACTGTTGGCTGCTGGGCTAACATAAGAAGGTATTTAAGCCTCTGCCACCAATGGTAACGTTATGTAGCAAAAGGAAAGGGAAGAGGGGCGTGGGTTGACATTGATTAGTTGGTGTACTAGTGAGTTTAAAGAACTATAATTAATCCAAAAATTTGTTGCCTTCATATATCTAATTCTAATCTAATTGTAAACTAAAATTAGAACTAAAACTTAGTAAGCAACAATTTTAAACTTTTTTTTTTTCTTTTCAAGATGGCATGAATTAAACTAAAATTTTATACTAAAATTACAATGCAACAATTTATTTACCTTCATATATATGATTGTATCTTATTTTTGGTGAACCGAACACCCTACACCGTTTAAAGTTCACCAAAAACTAGTCACTTAGTATAGTATTATGGTTGATTTTTGGTTTACTTTAGATTTCAAGTTTGAAATAATAATAATATGTGTAAAAATCAAAACTTGAGGTTATACAATTGAATTTTGTCCAAAAAAATATTATGTGGATGTGACAATTAGTAATTTTTAATAAAGAGCAAATAAGAGAAAAATAAAAATTCATAGTCTTGGGGCCGAGCTAAAGGAGACTTTGGGCCCGGTGGAAGTTGTTCCTATGCCTAAGGCAGCCAAGGCCCTTCATCCAATCTATATATAGAGAAGGTTCCATTTGATTTGCTGTTTTTCAGCTCTCGTACTAGAGAGCCAAAACAAAGGACTAAGTGGTGATCAGCCACAAAAAGCACGTCGGGTTGAATACTTGGATTTTTTTTTATGACAACAAATATTGACAAGTGTAACTTCTCCTCACTGCACGGTACGCACAGGAGGATTTTGGTGGTCGTATGCGCCTCAGAAGGTCAAGTCTAGCGAGAAAATAAATGCGAGAAGAAACATGGGAAGGTAATTGGATGGGGACATAAATAGAAAATTTCGCACGTGATGTGTTTGTCGACACGTAGAGTTGAGGATTATGATCCAACGATCACAGATTAAATGAACTTAACTAATCAGACTGTTATGTTTGAACTATTAATGATTGTAAGGTGTTGAATTTTTTTTTTTTTTTTTTTTTTTTTTTTTTTTTTTTTTTTGTAAATGAGATATTGAAATTCAAAGGAGGCCACATAATTTCCTATCTAAAATTCAGCGTTAAAATGTAATACATCGTTAACGTGCAAAGGTGCGTAAAACTTTAAACCGTATGGGGTTTAGATTTTTGTTTTAAATATTTTTCCTTTTTTCTTTTCGAGTGTTCTCACTGATGCAGTGAGCCTCAATGTTTAAATATTAACGCAAATCATGCAAGTACAAACAGAGTGTGGATATCTCCTCAATACCAGTTTTCGCTTTTCCTATTCTGAGTGAAAGTGCATCGAGAATCCAAGCAACTACGATTGAGTCGAAGGAAATTATACGATACATTAGTTTTATGATTCTACAATTTCTTATCTCGCTCATCATCTTGGTAGAAAATCAGAAACTATAATCTCGTTGACAAAATAACTATTAACAGCTATTATTTCTTGATGGCTAGTGTATCGACTAGTAATAAAGGCAGGTCGTTCAGGTTGAGAAAGACTCTGAGCTTCGCTTCTCACATCAGGTAGGCCTTAATAATACGTCTTCTTGAACGCACAATAACCCAATTTGGATGCATCTCAAAACTTCGTTTGAATGACATGAGTCTCCCAAACATGGACCCACTAAATCCAATGCTTTCCCTTCATTCCATAACTGCCATGCCTGTATGATGATCAAGCACCATATATAAAATATATAATGAGATTGATTACTATTTAAATGAAAAACGAATTTGTGACGTCTGTATTTGTTTAAGCCACTAAATCTTACATATGCTACCAGGCTAAGCGCACAATCTGTTATGTGAAAGCTAGTGTTCCTCCTCCCACTTAGAATCTCAAGCAAGAGCACTCCAAAACTAAAAACATCAGACTTTATGGAATACAATCCTTCCATAGCATATTCTGGGGCCATGTAACCACTTATATTGCAGAAGAAAAACATAAAAGGTGATAAGACATATATTATTAGAATTCCATAAAAGGTGAGGGCAATCCTCTCCTAACAAGCCGATTTTGTTAGGTTGAGTTAGGCCCAATATCCTTTGATTTCTGTAAAATGGTATCAGAGCAGACACAGTTTTACAATGTTGGGTCCCCCAATATCGACTTATATGCAGCAGTTTGGCATGGTCCACGCTATGCGTGAGGGGGCGTATTAGAATCTCACATTGGCTGGGGATATTAGCATGATCCACTTAATAAGGTGAGAGCAATCCTCCCCTAACAAGTCGGTTTTGTTAGGTTGAGTTAGGCCCAATATCCTTTGATTTCTGTAAAATAACATATTAGATAAAAGTTAAAACTATTTTGAAGCACATTATTATAAGTAGTTTGAAAATTCAAAACTTACTAAGTTCCAACAATTCTTCTAGTGTTTCCTTGAGTTTGGTCTACTCCAAACATCTTGGCCATGCCGAAATCTGATACTTTCAGATTCATTATTTATCGAGCAAGATATTGCTTGCTTTGAGATCACGGTGTATGATTGTTAGCCGAGAATCCTCATGCAAATATAGAATTCCTCGAGCAATTCCTTCAATTATGTTGCATCTTGCCGACCAATTCAATTGACCTTGTTTTTTTGGATCTGCATATCAGGCAGAGAGAACATATGTAAGAAGCATGATATAACAACAAAGAGCATAGGTTTATTGCATACATATCTATTTCATTCTCCATGAAAAAGATATGTAGCAATATCATGCGATTGGAAGATAGAACATTGTTCTCCTCATTTAATCAAAGACGTGTTTAGATATGCATAAACCGAACAAAAAATAATCAAGGCTTTTGTTGGGCACGTATTCATAGACAAGTATGCTTTCATCTCCATCCAAGCAAAATCCCAAAAGCCTTACGAGATTTCTGTGTTGAAGTTTTGCCACTAACACAACCTCATTCTTAAACTCCAATGCACCTTGTCCAGAGCTCTTGGATAACCTTTTGACAGCTATTTCTCGTCCATTTGGAAGCGTTCCCTAAAACTGTATACATATATAATCATAATTACATAATTAGCTTAATTTTGATTATTGACAGTCCTTCGACTTTGAATATCGTGATATTTTGGATTTTGAATTTTTTATTTTACCAGGCTACTTCCTAAATTTTTATTTTGAATAGTTTTGGTCTCTGTACCGCTAAATTTTGAGAACGGATTTCTGAAATATAATATAGATAATGTGAAATATAATATAGATAATTCACAAAGCTATCGAATATAGTTGAAAATTTTACTTAAATAGTTAAATTAATTACAAAATGTTATAATATTATTCAATGAGTTGTAACAGTAGTGAAGAGGACATTTTGCACATAATAAAACTATTTCTATAAATTTTCAAGCTAAATATTATGTAATAAACACATGAATTAACAGTGCCAATAGCCCATTTTGCTCTGTGTGTGTGTGTGTGTGTGAATGAAAGCAACATCTTATGATATGTACCTTATAAACTTCACCAAATCCGCCTTTACCTAACATGTTATAATCAGAAAACTTGGTTGTGGCAGTTTCGATACTTTTAAAATTAAACTGCAAGGAGTCTTTCATAGTGATATCATTGGCAGCTGCAATTCAAGCCGAGTATTTTATTAATGACCAGTGTTACAGAAAATATTATAACACTCCTTGTAACACCTATGTAAAAACAGATCTTATAACAGTTTTATTATGTATTATCTATAAATTAATTAAAAGACTAGACAAGAAAGGAGAAATTACTAGCAAGCGATCGATATCAAAGTGAATAACAATATGTTGATAGAAATTTCAAGTGTTCTGAATGAACGGGACTCTATAGTTGCTAGAACGTCAAGGGAAAGGAAGAGGAAAGATCATCTCAGCCCTTCTGTAGATTAAGCAGTTGGAAAAGTCATCTAGTCAGACTGGAAAGAGTCATAAGCATGCAGTCTAGGTTGTTCTTCTGGAGTGTAACTTGAGTGTAGTTTTTGAGTTATAACTTGAGTTGAAGTTGGAACTTCAATAAAGCTGAGTAAAATTAAATAAAGTTGAAACTTAAAAGAACGTGAACTTGAATAAAATTGAAACTTGAGTTATCTTTTTTTGAGTTTTTTGGACAAAAGAACATGAAGTCTCTAAGCTCTATCCTAAATTAACAAAAGTCAAATTTGTTTTTGGCCGACTATATATCTCTTTCGTTTCATTCATTTCATAGGAACGTTCAAATAGAGAATCAAAATTTCAGGCAAATTAGTTGTCTTCAATAGACAGCGGAAAGTTTAATTTCGTTAAAGACAAGTATGCTTTCATCTCCATCCAAGCAAAATCCCAAAAGCCTTACGAGATTTCTGTGTTGAAGTTTTGCCACTAACACAACCTCATTCTTAAACTCCAATGCACCTTGTCCAGAGCTCTTGGATAACCTTTTGACAGCTATTTCTCGTCCATTTGGAAGCGTTCCCTAAAACTGTATACATATATAATCATAATTACATAATTAGCTTAATTTTGATTATTGACAGTCCTTCGACTTTGAATATCGTGATATTTTGGATTTTGAATTTTTTATTTTACCAGGCTACTTCCTAAATTTTTATTTTGAATAGTTTTGGTCTCTGTACCGCTAAATTTTGAGAACGGATTTCTGAAATATAATATAGATAATGTGAAATATAATATAGATAATTCACAAAGCTATCGAATATAGTTGAAAATTTTACTTAAATAGTTAAATTAATTACAAAATGTTATAATATTATTCAATGAGTTGTAACAGTAGTGAAGAGGACATTTTGCACATAATATTACTATTTCTATAAATTTTCAAGTTATATATTATGTAATAAACACATGAATTAACAGTGCCACTAGCCCATTTTGCTCTGTGTGTGTGTGTGTGTGTGAATGAAAGCAACATCTTATGATATGTACCTTATAAACTTCACCAAATCCGCCTTTACCTAACATGTTATAATCAGAAAACTTGGTTGTGGCAGTTTCGATACTTTTAAAATTAAACTGCAAGGAGTCTTTCATAGTGATATCATTGGCAGCTGCAATTCAAGCCGAGTATTTTATTAATGACCAGTGTTACAGAAAATATTATAACACTCCTTGTAACACCTATGTAAAAACAGATCTTATAACAGTTTTATTATGTATTATCTATAAATTAATTAAAAGACTAGACAAGAAAGGAGAAATTACTAGCAAGCGATCGATATCAAAGTGAATAACAATATGTTGATAGAAATTTCAAGTGTTCTGAATGAACGGGACTCTATAGTTGCTAGAACGTCAAGGGAAAGGAAGAGGAAAGATCATCTCAGCCCTTCTGTAGATTAAGCAGTTGGAAAAGTCATCTAGTCAGACTGGAAAGAGTCATAAGCATGCAGTCTAGGTTGTTCTTCTGGAGTGTAACTTGAGTGTAGTTTTTGAGTTATAACTTGAGTTGAAGTTGGAACTTCAATAAAGCTGAGTAAAATTAAATAAAGTTGAAACTTAAAAGAACGTGAACTTGAATAAAATTGAAACTTGAGTTATCTTTTTTTGAGTTTTTTGGACAAAAGAACATGAAGTCTCTAAGCTCTATCCTAAATTAACAAAAGTCAAATTTGTTTTTGGCCGACTATATATCTCTTTCGTTTCATTCATTTCATAGGAACGTTCAAATAGAGAATCAAAATTTCAGGCAAATTAGTTGTCTTCAATAGACAGCGGAAAGTTTAATTTCGTTAAAGAGAGAGAAAAAAAAAAAAAAAAAAAAAAAAGGAATGCAAGAATATCAAACTCGCGCTCAATCATTTACCAGTGTTATTTTTTCTTCATTTTCAGTTCACCTTGCTTTCCTTTCTTTTCTTGTTTTTTTGGCCCAATTAGGGTTAATGAGGTTTTTGGTAATTAAAGATAGCTTGTGGACTTGTGGTTGGTATTTTCAAAAATTAGAGCAAATAACATTTTTTTTAAAACTTATTGAAGAAAATACAATATTTTGGGAATTAAAGATAGCTTGTGGTAATTTACTAAAGCACGATAAGTTCAGGGACAATTGTGCTAAAGCCTTTTTTTTTTAATCAAAATTACTTCATGCTCTACATTTTTTAAGTGACTGGGTTTTTTGTAATTTTCTTTTTTATAAAGAAAACAGTATTTTTGGAACAGAATCGAACTCCCTATGTTAAGTATTCTCAGTAGTATGGTGCGAGTAAACTGAGGTAACCTTAACCATAATGTTTAACAATTTTTTAGTGCCATAATCATTAATATCCCCAATTATTTTTTTTTGTGAAATGCGGGTTTCACAGTATTGATTTTTTAGTGTCATAATTACAAAATCATCCCCAGTATTTTAGCCAAATGAAGATTTTCACCTAAATAGTGTTGGAAGAGAAAAAAAGTATTCCTTATTTTACAAATCACAAAAAAAAAAAAAAAAAAAAAAAAAAAAAAACCACCCCCCTTACTTTGTATACAAAAAATTATTTTTCAAAGTGCCAACATTAGTTTTAATCTAAGCAAAAGAGTAGTCATGAGAATAAAATTTATTGTCTCGGTGCTCATCTTGGGAGAAAATCAGAAACTGACATCTCATTGACAGTACAACTATTAACAGCTATTATTTCATGGTGGCTAGTATATCTGCCGGTAATAAAGGCTGGTCGTTCAGGTTGGGAAAGACTTTGAGATTCAGTTTTCAGCATTAGAACAATTGATGACATGATAGGCCTTAATAATGGGTCTTCTTGAACGCATAATAATCCAATTTGGATGTATCTCAAAACTTCATTTGGATGACAATCTGATCTCAAACATGGATCCACCAAGTCCAACGCTATCCCTTCATTCCATAACTGCCACGCCTGTACCATATGTAAAATATGTAAGGAGGTTGATTAATGTTTAACTGAAAACCCAATTTGTGACGACCATTTATTGGTTTAAGCTACAAAACCTTACATGTGCTACAAGGCTTATCGCAGAATCTGTTATTTGAAAGCTAGTGTTCTTTCTCCCACTTAGAATCTCAAGCAAGAGCACTCCAAAACTAAAAACATCCGACTTTACAGAATATAATCCTTCCATTGCATATTCCGGAGCCATGTAACCACTTTAATCACAAGCAGAATATAAACATGTTATTATCAAAAAATAATAAATAAAAGTAAACAAAATTAGTATCGTGTGCACGATGCATGGCATTCGTTTCTATGCATTTCCTATGTCAATATAAGTTGTTAATTTTTGCCAAAAGTGCTTATGTTACAGAAATAATAATTGTAATTTGCATATGAACCATATCATGAAGTATTTGCAAACGGAAAATTTATTCTTTTGAAGTATTGTATAGAGAGTTAAACCGAAACTTACTAAGTTCCAACGACACTTTTAGTGTTTCCTTGAGGTTCGTTTTCTCCAAACATTTTTGCCATGCCAAAATCCGATACTTTCGGATTCATATTTTTATCTAACAAGATGTTGCTTGCTTTGAGATCACGATGTATAATCCTTAGCCTGGAATCCTCATGCAGATATAAAATTCCCCGAACAATTCCTTCGATTATGTTACATCTTGTTGACCATTTCATCTGACCTTTTTTTTCTGCATCTGCACATTGAAAGGACACATATATCTTAATAGCAAAAAAAAAAAAAAAAAAGTAGTACTCTTGTTACACACACTCGCACATCATTCCGTTCGAAGGATAATTAGTCTATGCATCATCAGTCCAATTAGAAAATGGTAATTAGTAGAAACAATCTTCTCCTCAACTAGAAAATGTGTTTAGACACACGAACCGAATAGAAAATAATCAAGGCTTTTGTTGGGCACGTATTCATAGACAAGTATCTTTTCATCTCCTTCCAAGCAAAATCCCAAAAGCCTCACAAGATTTCTGTGTTGAAGCTTGGCTACCAGTACAACCTCATTCTTAAATTCGGTTGCACCTTGTCCAGAGCTTTTGGATAACCTCTTGACAGCTATTTCTCGTCCATCTTGAAGCTTTCCCTGATCAAAATATATAGCTTATAAAATCACTTCATTTTTCTTTAGGCTTGACATACACATACATGTGAAAGGGAACGACATTTGCCCATGTACGACGTACCTTGTAAACTTTACCAAATCCACCTTCTCCTAACACGTTATCATCAGAAAACTTGCTTGTGGCGGTTTCGATAGTTTTAAAATCGAACTGCAAGGACATATATATATATATATATTGTGAAAACATCACACACCTGTAGAACGTATAATTAAAATGATAAAATAATCACGTATGATTCAATATATAACAAACTAGTTTAAGAAGTTCTCTTCACCATTGTCTTGCTCAATTTGAGCATTGTGCTTCTTTCTGGCTCTTATGCGAAAGTAGTAACCTGTGGCAACTAGCAATGCAGTGACAAGAACGGGGACTACACTGGCAACAATAATGATCACCGACGATACTCTTTTCTTTCCTGCTTACAGTTTAGCTAGAATTAACATATAACATGACATCGTTCTCGTAAAGAGCAAGATAAAAATCTCTCTCAGATAAACAAATGCATAAAAGAAAGAAACGAAAACACATGACAAGATGATGGACAACTAGATCACAATGTACATCTAAACGTTAATTCAAACTACAATTTAAACCATACAGTTTGAATTTTTTAGTTCAAATAAAAAAGTTCAAATCAACAAATTTAATTCAAACCAGCGAACTAAATAGGAGCTTAAATTTTAGCTTCTTAAATTCAACGGTTCAAACTATTTTTAAATAGTAAAAAGATGCCAACTCTCACTGTTTTTCACCTCAGCCAAATACAAATTTCAATTTTATTTACTATTCAGATTAAAATTCTAATTGCACATTCAAACTCCAATTTAAACCACACAATTAAAAATTTTCTATTCCAATAAAGAAAATTTGAACTAGTGAATCAAACATGAGCATAATTGTTCAAATTATGTAAGAAGAAAAAGTAGTAAATAACATATTTATGAAACTCAGTTAAATAAATAGCATATTTTAAAATTATTTGAATTCATTCATCGTTTAAATAGTTCATTTACCCAATTACGGTTAATCTTTACCACATAAGTTATTTTTTTACATGTTCTAAATAAATTATTTACATAGTAAATGATTCTTTTAGCATGTAAACTACTGTTTAATTTAAATAATTTTAAAATCTGTTATTTACTTAATTTAATTTTAAAAATTTGTTATTTGCTACAATTTTTTTTTTTTCCAAAAAAACAAACTACGTACCTTTCGACCTCCCTACGAAACCTGGCGGTACCTGAAGGGTCATATTTACGGGCGGTGCCGCACTAGGTGTCACAGACGTTGCGGAAACGGTGTAGAAGGGGTAGACTTCGTACCTAATATGACAACTGGGGAACGGAACTCTTCCCCCTAACTTCCCATCGCAGCACACGGGAAGTCTTCCTATGGCTTCCGTTAGACACGTACCACAGTCCTCACCCGACAGGTCCGGCGTGCACTGCGCCAAGTTGAACAGAGTCTGGAACCCATTTAAGTTTGCATCTCTCGTTGCGAACTTCTTTTCCCCGAGCCCACCTCTCGCAGCCTCCACAGCCGCCTCCTTCATGGTGTTGTTCAGCACCCGGGTAAACCGGTTTTTATCAGTGACGTTCGCCGTGTTCAAAAGATATACGCCGGGCCTTGTAGCCACGGTGCCCAAGAAGGAGGGGTAGTCGGAATACTGCAGCTGGCACTGGTCGTACCATATCATGGCCTTTCTGATGACCCCCGGGCAGCGCTCCTTGACATCCTTGATGGCGAACCTCATGCAGTCGTGGCAGTAGGTGACGTTGACGTCTCCACGGCAGAAAACTTGCGCGTAAAGGGCGTCAGAGAGGTCTCCGGCAGCGATGGTCGTGTTTTTCTGGAATTCGTGGGACGCGAAGGCTGAGAGCGAAGCGAAAAGGGTGTTGCGATTGGATAGATAGACGCTGTTTGAGGTGGCATTGGTCTTGTTTTCGCAAAAATGGTATAGATACGTAGGCTCGTAAGTAATGGCTCCAACGTTAATCAGCCCGATTGATATAATAAGCAAAGATGGAATTAACATAATCATAGGGGAGGGAGTGTTGATGGAAAACATTTTTCTTTTAAGATTATGGCGTAGGAGCCAGATAGAAACCAGTTTTCCGACTAAATCGGACAGAGAAAGGACGAACGTCCAAGTTTCCCTGAGTGGGACACAACCAAAACCAAAGAAGCTAGGAAACTCTCAGAGCAAATTGTATTGATAATCAGGGTAATGGTTCTCATCTGAACGACAAAACCTGCCTTATAAGGCTACAAAGCAAACGACAAGACAGATAGCAAATAGCAAGGCCAAACGACAGCTAACATAAGCGAATAAAATAAAAGATAGAATAAATGACAAGTAGTATAAGTAAATATAATAAGGGAAGCGACGATGAGCTGCTGCATCAGATTAGTTGTGAGAAGTTCGGGATTATGATATTCTTGACCCCATAATAAAAGAGAATCCCCCAGGCAGTTGGCGCAGATAGATGACGGTCAATGTAGATCAAGTGCCTGTTGTGAAGTTTCTTGATCTAGTTATCCAAAAGAAACACTTGCAATGGAATTTTCCGCATAGGACGAAAAGCATGCAGGGCAAGGATGGGATAGTCGGTTAGACGTCCAAACCTAATTAATATTCTTGAAATGTATTCACAACGTTATAAATGATTACAGAAAAGAAAGTAAATATGGGCCGGGTCCAACGTTGGCCATGACCTATGGTGGTGACTTTGGCAATTAGAACTGTGGGTTTCACATTGTGTACTCTATTAACAGGTCTTTTTTGCTTTCTGTTTCATTTATTGTAGAAGCCTCTGTTAACATGTCTTGCAATCATCCATTAGGCGACTCCAATTATCGGAGAAATATGCTGTGTATTTTGGAGGTAACTTAACAATCTCCCACAACTAGAGGTTTTATCGAATATTTATGATCCATAAATATCTTGTGTAAAAAGTTATGATAAAATTTTGGGAAAATTTTGATAAACATCATGATCAAATATTGGTAAAAATATTGATTTTAGTCAAGTTATAGTGTATGTTCTTTATATAGAAATTTGAGAAATATCATAAAATTAGAAAAAAAGAAATTTGTACAAATTGGCAGTCAAATGTATTTTTTTTTTTTTCATTTTTTCAATATACACATTATATATTAGCATGTCGTGCTATCAATATTACTTGAATCATGATGAAATCTCAGTTTGAGACTTAAAAAACTCTCTTTTGATATTGAGATTTTTATTTAAAATGCATATAAAGCTTGTACGTTAACATGTTTATTCTTTTTTCAATTTTCATCATGTCCTAAATAATAAGTATAACAAAAGAAATATCAAGTTTTAGAAGAAATATCAATTTTCTTGTTATGGAAAAGGAAAAGTATGGTCGCTCTGTCTTTCGGCACTATATCAGCAATGTCATTTATTTTGGCACTGTATCAGCAATATTGTTTACTACTAGCAATCACTGGGGTTAAGAACTGGAAGATACACTAGAAGCAGTTGTAAGACCAGTTACAGAGCGGTAATTGAAGACTGATTGATTGGTATCACACTAGGCACACAAAATGCAGGCTGACTTGGTTGAGGAAGAGAAACCAATCCACTTTCCAAGAGTACTACCACAGACGACATTGTGGGCCTATCCGCTGGATCTTCCTGAACACACAAAAGCCCAATGTGCATACTTCTTAGGGAGAAAGAGGGAAATAGGCCAAAACTTGAGATGAATTAAAATTAATAGGCCAATAGTTTACATAAGTTAATAAATAGGCCAAATTACTGTTTTCGTCCATAACTTCTCTGGTTATGAACCTGTTAGGTCCGTTTTTATCCTGGTGTCACAAGTGGTGTTGCAACACTTTACTGTAACACTTTTTGTGACAGAAAATCTAAAATTAAACCCGCAAAACAGTAAAGCAGGAAACTAATGCAGAAACGTAAAGGGCACCAAAAAAATGATATCGCAATTCGGTGCGCACACCTACTCTGCGGGGCCACACCCAGACAATGAACAATCCACTAAGTTCAAAGGATTACAAACACCAATCGGACTTATACACCCAAAGACTCCCTCCTTGACGTTGTCGCCGCCGTGTCGAATCTCCTTAATGGCCTTGTCCAGCGAGCAGCACTCGTCTTCAAAACTGCACGGCGAAATCCCTTCGACTGGCAGGGCGCTTTCTCCCGAAAGCTTCTAATCCTTCTCCCAAAGGACGATCTTCAATCAACACATAAAGGCTCACTCTCTCATATACTTTTTCTGAATATTTCTTCTATAAAAACCATGCCCCAAATGTATCTTTTGATTACCCAATACTTTTTTCAAGGGGCCCAAAAACTCATGTATGCCACTTATGTATATATAGCAAAGTTGCTCATGTGCCTATCCAGATTTTTCTGTTTTCAGCCCTGTGTCCCCACACAACTTTCTCCTCAAGCTTGAAGATTTGCCAGCCATTAATTCCCCCAAAAGTCCACTCTTCATTTTCAGCAATCAAATCCTTTGATTTGTAGTCCATAAACATGACAACAAGACTTTCCTTAAGAGGTCTACCAAATTAAAATGTCAACCAATCTTACAATTAATTTGCCAAAAATAAGCCAATATAAAATGCACTAACAATCTCTCCCTTTGGCTATTTTTGGCAAAACTAACATTACTAACAAAAAGATCCTATTACAAGATAAAAGATAAAATCCAACTAAGCGAATTAACAGTTCTCCCCCTTTTTGAGAAAATACAGCCAAAGTTAAAAATAATACTAAAAGAAAAACCTTTTAGAAGATGTTGTCGCAGAAAGTGTTGCAACACATGATATAACACTTTTCTGTAGATCATCTTTTAGGGTCATTGATCTCTGCAAAATGCTCCCCCTGAGTCCTCTATGAGTCTTACTCCCCCTGAATATAATATTCTTCCAGAAATGGTTGACATTGCCAAAGTTTGGCTTTTTTCCTTCTTGTTGAACTTCTTAGTGCCATCAAGTAGTGAAGAGTGTGAAACCGAACCTCCTTCTTTCAAAAAATCCATTCCTGGTACAACAGACCAACTCCCAAAATCAACTACCAAAATCTCACCAAACAAAGGGTTAGTGAACTGCTCTGATACCAATTGTTAGGTCCGTTTTTATCCCGGTGTCACAAGTGGTGTTACAATACTTTACTGTAACACTTTTTGTAACAGAAAATCTAAAATTAAACCAGCAAAATAGTAAAGCAGGAAACTAATACAGAAACGTAAAGGACACCAAAAAAATGATATCGCAGTTCGGTGCGCACACCTACTCTGCGGGGCTCGCCTAGACAATGAACAATCCACTAAGTTCAAAGGATTACAAACACCAATCGGACTTATACACCCAAAGACTCCCTCCTTGACGTTGTCGCTGCCGTGTCGAATCTCCTTAATGGCCTTGTCCAGCGAGCACCACTCGTCTTCAAAACTGCACGGTGAAATCCCTTCGACTGGCAGTGCGCTTTCTCCTGAAAGCTTCTAATCCTTCTCCCGAAGGACGATCTTCAATCAACACATAAATGCAAACTCTCTCATAGACTTTTTCTGAATATTTCTTCTATAAAAACCATGCCCCAAATGTATCTTTTGATTACCCAATATTTTTTTCAAGGGGCCCAAAAACTCACGTATGCCACTTATGTATATATAGCAAAGTTGCTCATGTGCCTATCTAGATTTTTCTGTTTTCAACCCTGTGTCCCCACACAACTTTCTCCTCAAGCTTGAAGATTTGCCAGCCATTAATTCCCCTAAAAGTCCACTCTTCATTTTCAGCAATCAAATCATTTGATTTGTAGTCCATAAACATGACAACAAGACTTTCCTTAAGAGGTCTACCAAATTAAAATGTCAACCAATCTTACAATTAATTTGCCAAAAATAAGCCAATATAAAATGCACTAACAGAACCAAAACTTGACAAGTTATTGTCCATAATTCACGGTTTTTGTCCATAACTTATCTGGTTATGAACCATAACTTGCTAAGTTTGTCCATAACTTTTCTGGTTATGAACCATAACTTGACAAGTTATGGCCTATTAATTTCTATAACTAAAAATTGGCCTATATACTTCTTTAAGCTTTTCATATTGGCCTATTTTCTACTATTTCCCTACTTCTTCTTATGACTTCCTCAATCGAGCATGTTTCCTTCATCAAAGGGTCCACAAATTCCAGCTCTTTTCCTTCCTTCCACAATTGCCACGCCTGTCATGATATTGATCAAAAGGATATATTACATTCTTAATCTACATATTTGAATTTACAGCTCAATCATAATGTACAATACCAATTCAGTTAATGAAGAACATACATATCTGATGCTATTATTCCTCTTTCCGCTAATGATTTTGAGTAATATCACGCCGAAACTAAAAATGTCTGATTTTGTGGAGAATATTCCCTCCATTACATACGCTGGAGTCATGTATCCGCTATTTACATACATGGTTTCTTAACTTTAATAGGAACAACACGTGAATGCAAAAGACAGGTAAAAAAATAAAAATAAAAATTTTAGTATTTAGGAAGAACAACTTTTCTGATCTTTCCTGTATTCTGGTCCTCACAGAAAATTCTTGCCAAACCGATTGCCACCATGTCGTTGTACTTCACTATAAATCCCTATGTACTATCTTTAGTTTGGTATCTTCGTGAAGATAAAGAAGCCCTCTAGCAATTTCACTGATAATGTTATGCCGCGTCTTCCAATCAAGCAGTGAACGTTTTTTCTGAATCTAAAATCAGTCAGAATTTTGAATTTGAAATCATTTTTTCTGAATCTAAAATCAGTCAGAATTTTGAATTTGAAATCAGTTAGAATTCTAAATCTGAATCTGAACGGTTAATAATTAAAGGTCATTCTATTCACACACCCTTTTTTATTCTTCACTCCCCTTTTAATTATAATTTCTTATTAGAAAAGATTCTTATGTAAAATGACAAAAGAACGAGTAAAATAGACTTTATTATATAATTAAATTTTATTATAAAAAATAATGATATTTTTTTTTTC